TTTTTTTTTTTGTGGGTTTTGCGGAAAGCTCAATTTATCTTTGTAAGTCTGGACCAAATTGAGCACGGCTTAGCACATGATGTCTGTACAATGAACGATCATTCTTAGAGTCAGGACACCTCCAAAACACACCAGCATAACATCTTTTGGTGTGCGTATATATATATATATATATATATATACCCCTGACACACTGAAGACAGGCTAAAATGATGGTGGATGAAATTCATTCTCGCCCCGACCAAGATTTTGTAGTGCTAGTTTGTGTTGTGTTTGCAGTTTAAGCCTGAGAGATTCAGCTCCATGGGATGGAAACAAATATAAATGGCCAAATCAAGGACACTGAAGTCTGAGCCTAACATAATTTAACTTAAGAAACACTACAGCTTTCCTTTTTATTTACATTTGTCCATATGTAACCTATTAAAAGCTTGTGTGTTTCCTTAATGTCAATCAATTAAATTTCATATGTTAAGACTGGATGAGTTGTCTGGAGGTTGTCTGTTCTTTTTTTACCTTGTAGATGGTGTATAATATACTTATTTTTCACATCCTGAAGAATAGCAGTTCATAAAACAGTCCAACACTCATGCAGTTTTTCTGTTTATTACTTGGTAAATCAAGATTTAATAAAGAATCTATAGAATTGTAAAAAAGAAAGGGGAAAAGGGTCTAAAAGTGGGGGTTAACATTAGTAGTGACTTACCTAGTGATTATGACAATCTTGTACTGCAGCTTTAAGGCCTCTTTGATTGTGGCGTCGGAACAATCTGTTTGTCAAATGTCCATTTTGGATCAGTGCCAAATATGCTACATTTCACAGTATAATAAAAGTTTAAATCAAGCAAAATAATTTGTTACAAACATCTTGTCACATTTAGGGCCAGTCACAGTATTTAGTTTGGCAGCTAGTGTTCTGTAAGTGCATAGCATTTGTCAGGGAAGCAATACATAAAAAGCTAACATGAGCATATAACTTGAGCACAATATTTGTAATGTATATCGAGTGACGAAACTAACAGGACAAAGAAACACTTACAAAATGCCTCACCATACTACTCCGTTATATAATAAAGTGATCATCGCTGGCATAACATGAGCATGACATTGTAGTAGAATGTCAAGAAAAAACATTAACATAAATAATTCTAGAGCCTAACTGGATGTCTCTAGTTACTGTTTTAGGTTTTGGTGAACAGATGCAGATAATTTGAGAGTTATACAAGATCTGCATTCTAACCATATTAAGTGTGTGTTGAACATCAGGAGTGACTTTTCAAACAGCTGCATGATCTATAGCAATGGAAATGCAAAAGAATGTTGTATTTTGATTGAGGCACAACCATATTTTATCAACCATCTGTTACTTATTGCTTTTGCATTTATGTATCTTGTCTTGAACCACAACTAGAATAGTACAGTTCATTACAGAATAAGGCATACTTTACATCTGCCAGATAATCAGCGGAGATTCTGGTACGTTTACATGTTCAGTCTGTGTCAGGATAACACATTTATGAAATCTCACTGGTGGTTTTGCTGGTGACTTTAGGATGAAATCGGGTACATTTTCTTTGGGGGTAAACAAGCGGGAACTGACATCATTCTCTGAACTCTGTGCATACAACACGTGGGCTGCTTTCACACGAGTTTATACTGCAGACCCAAGTCTGCTTGACGTCAGTTTGGTTCATTTGGCTGGTGTTTTCTTAACTTGAGTTATGACCAAGCAAGTTGCCTTGGTACATTCTCACAATTGCTGTTTAAGGCAGTTTTCACATGTTAAGGCTGTTAGGCCAGTTTACGTCCATATATATATATATAACTGTACCCCAAGCTGCCGTTTCCAAATGTACTCTGGTTTGCTTCCTCCGGAGTTTGGTAAAGATCTATTAAAAACAACCAAACAACGTCAAGCAAACCAAAGTCCCCATCAAAAGAGAAATAACCTTGTTATAGACACATTCACATCAAAATGGCATATACATATAGCCAAACTGCACTTGTGTTTTTAAAGTTGTCTTAAACTGACAGAAGACTATAAGACTATAATGTATCTCCACAAAAAGGTTTCAAAGATTCAAGAAACTTTCCAGATTCTATTTACTCTATTTACACAATAAATAATTAGGACTTTCTTCCTCTGGAAAATGAATGAATAAAAATGAGTCACTGCTGAATGTGGATCGTGGGATGTGAAAGCCAAATATCCTGAATCTTCAGGCTTGTCCTTTAATCATCTTGCTCTTCCATCTTATAGTTGTCCTAGCATGCTGCTGACGGCCTGATCCAGTGCACGAGGCTGTTGAATCTTGGGTTTAATCCCTGCTACAGATCCCTGCAACCTTTGTAGCTCCAGGATGCTGTCTAAAGCACTTTGCAGATGTTCACTCAGTTCCCCGTCTTCCACTAATGCAGGCGAACTGGGATACTCTGCTACCGAAGCAGCCAGCTTGTTCCTTTTAAGCACTGGAGTGCACTGTTCTGGAAGCAAGCCTTGCACCCTTGGAGCTACATAGTCTTGAGTGGCCACAGAATCAGAGAGGTTCTGCGAATCACTGCCTGTCCTAATTGTCTCCATGTCAAGGTGCAATTTCATCTTGTTTAGCTGATCTGGCCTCTGATCATTTTTGTCCTCTGCAACAATTGACAAAGGAGACTTGAGAGATTCATCTTTCCCCTGCATGGCTCCTCCTCTAGTTAACTGCCCGCTGTAGTTTCGTTTAAACCCAGAGATCACATGTGAGGCATCACATGAGTTGTGGATAACTTTGCGGGATCCTGACTCTTGTCTGATAGTGAGGCGTATTGCTCCTTTGCTGCTGGAGCGATATGTCTTGAGGCCAGGAGGTCTGTCCGATTGCAAGGTCCATGATGGTGGAGATGGAGGACAACCGGCAAGGCCAGTCTGGACTGATGGCACTTGGCTCTGCTGAGATGAGTTCTTGGCACGGGACATGAGGAAGGACTCTGTTGAACCACCAAAAGAATGAAACCTGTTCACATTTCACTGTTTCAGGTCAGAGTGCATGTAATCTGTGGCTGTAATTGCAACACTTTATAACGGAGTTTCTCAAATCTGACCCTGGAGGGTCACTGCCCTGCAGAGTTTAGCTCTAGCCCTAATCAAAGACACCTAAGCAAGCTAATGAAGATCTTCCATTATTAAAAAAATGACAGGCTCCTGAGTTTGAGCAGGGTTTGAACTAAATACCTGCAGGGCAGTGGCCCTCCAGGGTTGGATTTGAGGAACCCTGCTTTACTAGTGAGAAACAAAGGCACACAAAAGAATCTTGTGCCTTGTTACCTGGATCTCTTCTGGTTTTGCGTCTGTCCTCCACCAGTGAGACTCTCTCTGACTGGAGAAACAAACGCTCTAGCATCACCATCTCTGCTGATGGGCTCTCCTGCTGAAGAAAGCAGTAACAACTCAGACCTGCCACCTCTTATATTCCAGAGAACCAAAATAATTTTGAGTTTCAGAACAATTACTTTGGTCAGTGATTCTGGATTAGTGAGGTGCAGGTTTTTTTTCAAATAAATTATGCCATTTGTTACCTGGGATTCAGTCAGAAGAAGTTTCCTGTACTTGTTCAGCATGTCTTTGATTCGTTTCAAGAGAACGACTGAAACGCACTCAAACTGCTTGTCCACTGCACAAAGAATGACAGATATTTTCTCATGTTTATTTATGTTTATTTTGGTGTTGAGTCTATTACAGGACAACAATTTTATATAAAATATTGTTAAATTCAAACTTCATGATTGCAGTCAAACCTGAAATAAAGTCAACCTGGTTGGGTAGAGCTCTAGCACAAGTATGGTACGGCAACAAATGTCTCAAAGCATCCTCCACCGAAACAAATGGGGCCAAAGTGTTTGGGTTGAGAACAGCACTGTGGTCCAAAAACAGCTGCTGTTTGAACCTGCAAATGCACATACAAAGTATTTCTATGTTAAATTAATTTGTGTACATTAAATAGCAACTTTGTGACTGGCCATATTTTTTAAAAATGTTTTTCTTTTTGTCTTTCAAAACATTTGTTTGGAATCTCACTATGGTGTCCTAGACAAAGCAAAAGAAGGCTATATCTTGGTCTTTCTTCACTGCTAGTGGAGTCTCATCTTACATGAAGATGATAATGATGCTATCCTTTCCAACAGACATTCAGGCCAGCTGGCATTCAAAGTGGTTTGACCCCTTTTTCAATCTTATTGAAGTATGTAGATTAGCTCATTATTCAATGGTCAGCTTCTCCATTGAACCCTGCTGGATTTGTTACAAAGGTAAGAGATTCTAGTCCAGTGCTTCTCAACCCTGTTCCCGGAGGCACACCACAGTACACATTTTCAAACTCTTTCTAACGCTTCCTAATAAAACAGACCTGATTCAACTCATCTGCTTACCTTTGACACCTTTGAGAACACCGATGTTCTCTTCTCTCTAGGGCAGGGGTGTTAAACTCCGCTTCAGTAGACCTATGTGTAGTTTAGAAATAATCCCAAAGGGCTTGCTTAGTTGGATCAGGTGTGTTAAATTTGGGTTGAAGTTAAGCTCCACAAGACTGTGCTCCTCCAGGAGCTGAGTTTGGCACCCCTGCTCTAGGGAAAAGCCTTTGTGTTTAGAATGAACTTGTTGCAGGGATCTCCAACTGTGCTCCTGGAGAGCTACCGTCCTGTAGAATTCAGTTCCAATCCTGCTCCAAAAAACCTGTCTGTATTTATCACGTAACCCTAAACACCTCGATTAGCTGGTTCAGTTGTGTTTGATTGGGGTTGGAGTTGAAATCTACAGGACAGTAGCTCTCTCCAGGAGCAGGGTTGGAGACCCCTGCTTTGTTGTGATCAGAAGTGTTGCTTTTTATATATTTCTGTCCTGGAAAGCATTACAATGCAAAGCTTTTATTTGAGAGTCTTGTTTTGACCTCTGCCCATTGTCCCTGGGTGCAAAAGGCTTTTATACCTAAGGCAGGAGTCTTTAGACCTGTTCCTTGAGATTGATCTTTCTGTAAAGTTCAACCCCAACCCTAATCAAAAACATCTGAATCAGATATTCAGGAACACTTGAGAATTATAGAAAGGTGTGTTGGTGCAGGGCTGGAACTGAATTCTGCAGGATGGTAGCTAATAGGGATCAGGATTGGGCATTCGTCAGACTTGTTTTCTCCACCATAAGTGTGGAATCAATCTGGGATCAACACAGTTCTATCTAATCTGATCTAATGTCATCTAAGGTGCCTTGAAATGTATTGTCTTTTATTCCCTAGTCTCAGCCTTAGACGTCACTCCCACGGACAACTGAACGTCTGATGCATGTCGCACACAAAATTGGAAACACTTCAGGAGTTTCGAAGTCTTCATCAGATTGGTTAAATTATACAGAATTTCCGGGAGGTGTGTGTCACGTTCTTTAACGTTCCGCTTGGAAACCAAAATGCTGTGATGCCAATGCCTCATGGAAGAAGAAAGCCGTCGGGTTTACAACTGTGACGAAGAGCACTTAGGATCAGCTAATCAACTAACTAAACCGGATTTTCAAAAGTATGTGAAATATTTAAAGTTTGCGGCATAGAATCTTTCAAATATGTCCAAGAGTTTTACACACTGGTCTGTTATTGTGGGGACATTTCCACTCCCCTAAATATGGCGCGGCACAAAAAGAAACATGGTTGCTTTACCTGACAGTCATATGGCCTTTTGGGTGGGTCTTGGCCATTCTGCCGTCAGTCTGAAGGTCTGGCTATGCGAGACTATTTATTCCCCAATCAGCTGGTCTAACATTTCTTTCTTGCTAGGTCTTTCTTGCTAGCTACAGCCCTGCCTATGGCATTTTCCATCTTAAATATTTTTGAATTCATACTGATGTCTACATAGAATTAGTATGCTACTGAGTATATCTATTTTTACTTACCTGTGTTGCCTCTTTGTTAGTCTCAGCTTCTCCTCTTTTGGATCCACACTTGCAGTTGGAGTCTGTGACACGGAGGGAATTTTAATAACATACTTCATATCCAGAATGACTTTGAAATTCTGTATCCATTCGAAAAGTCACATCTTCCTGAAATCTAGCATAATTTGACTAATACTTCACATTTCTTTTGCACCTTTACCTGGTTCTTCTGAAGTGTTGAGTAGGTCTCCTTGTCCTGGGCAAGCAGCCTGGGCCCAAGATGTACCTTCTCCTGTAACTCACGCTGATTCAAAGAGATTATCCCATTGTTCCTCAGGACTGTGAGCTCTAATTAGGGGAGGTATCATTTTTGAGCCAAAACGGATGAGAGAATGATTATAACTTTTTTTTGTTTGTTGTAAAGAATATATGTGACCCTGGCCCACAAAACCAGTCTTAATTAGCACTGGTATATTTGTAGCAATAGTCAAAAATACAGCAATAATAATTCAGTACCAGCAATAATATTCATTGTTACTGATGGAAAGTTAGTCTCATTCAAGAATTTACCTGTGTCATGTTCAGCGTATTGCTGCTTGTACTCATGGTCTGTTGACTCTGAGGTTCTGCTAAGCTCAGTTAACACATGACTTTGGCCCAATTGCTCCGGATACATAAACAACTTCTCTAAGGAAGAGGAAGGGCTCTTACTCATTACTGGCCCCCCATGACACTTGGGATCAGCACCAGGAGCAATTAACACAGAGGAATTCTGCTCATCTGAGACTGGAGTTGTTGAGCCCTTCATGGAGTCTGTGTCTGGGGTCTTTACAGAGCACTGGCCAATAGGAGACTGCAATAGAATATCTGTGTGCTCTGAACCATGGCATGTTGTCATAAGAATCTCTTCACTCTCACACAAGGAAGAGAAAGTCTCCGATGCAGTCAATGATGTGAGCGAGTCCTCAGCTTCACCTACAGCAGCAGAGATATGGTTGTCCATTTGCACAAGCAGAGTTGCAGCTAAGAGATCTTGGCTGGCTGACGGTTTTTGTGGATACTGCAGAGAAAGACATATATTTTGTGTTTACTGAAGAAGTAGAGGATACATTCCTAATATGCTGTCACGGTTCACATCTGTGTTTGAATGCAATTTACAGAGCACAGTTTTAATTTACCTGTTGGGGAGGATGCACTAAAGCCTGATTATGATTTAATGAGTTATGCTCCCCTTCAGTAAAATGTTGCTCTCCTGTCTGGGTAATCAGCTGGGGGGATAATGACAACACTGTCTCAGGGGTAAAACTAATATCTGATGATGACTGTAGTAGAGTTGATACTGGAGAGGGCAGAGGGTGAATCTCTGCAACAGGTGCTTCCACTGAAGCTGGAGGAAGCAATCTGCTCTCCTGAAGTGAATAGAAACAGTGAACAAACGTAATAAGCCACAAATCTGTTATAAAATACAACAGTGCTTTTAAAATTGAATGATAACAAATAAGATTCTGAAACAATATAATACTGTTTAAGAAAATAAAGGCCATTCCTAACATTGTTACAACAGAACCTCACTTGAAACGGTTTGTTGACTTTCTCCTGTTGATCTTCTGTTGTTCTCTCGGGCAAGAGAAGCACTGAATTCTGGGTAAGACACGCCTTTGCCTCAGGTCCACTTATTTGAGCACTTTGGGCTTGAGGCACCAAAGGCAGACTTTGTATCATAGACTGACCACTTTCTATTGGTATGGTGGTCATATCAGGAATAAACATTTTGGCATTATTAATCAAAGTGATCTGGTTTCCAACAGTGTTTTGAACTACCGCATGCTGCCCCTGCACTTGAGGTGCATAGGTCCCTGCTAGCTGTGTTGGCATCTGGAAGACTGTAGGAGGTGTTGACCGAATTGGTAAGGACCCTGACAGAAGAGCCCCTTGTTTTAGGGTGAGCTGTCCAGTTGGGGAGGTGAAAATAGGGCTGAAGTTGATTTGCCTTGGCCGTACAGTCACAATATGAGAATTGTCAACATTGGGTTTGTTAGACACCTGATTGCTTGGTGTACTAAGAATACACCTTGGGATGCTGGTAGACTGGGACAAAGTTGCAGGTGTTTGGCTCGGCAGAAAGAACTGTCTCTGGCCCTGAAAAGGATCCTGGGGCTGAATGACAATGGGGCCTCCCTGACCAACCAGATTCAAGCTAACAGGTTTGCTGACACCTGGTGCGGACTGTGCTTGTAAGGACTGCTTTGAGTCAACAGAAGGGGGTAACAAGACACTCTGTGACATATTTGTTGAGATGAAGGCAAATCCTGGCAATGGTTTCTGTCCTGATGGCCTGGAACTGATCTGCACGAGCCTGGGCTGGATGCTGACTGGTAACTTAGGCTGAATGGGTAGAGGGTTTTTTTGTAACATGACCCCTGATGGGGTAATTGTTCTAACGGTGGAGGCCAACATCTGGCGGGTTGGTAGGGTCTTTTGGATAATCATGCTGGTGCTTTGTGCTGAATTAATTGAAAAGGATGCCTCGAGTGGAGGTGCGGGGAAGACATTCCCAGGAAGTAGACTTATTAACTGTGTTCCTGGAGGTTTGAGTGAGGGGCAGCCTGGGCCAACAGCTAACAAAGATGGCTGAGGAGGCTCCACTGCTGTTTGGGTGTCCTTTGGTAAAGAGCTTAAGCCAGGAAGGGTCAATGGTTTGGAGAAATAGGGTGTTGAAGGCAAAGGAATGGATGTGCCAGACAAACCAAACTGGAGAGTTTCTACTGGCTGGGCAAGTCCTGCCTCTAATGCGAGAGTGATGTCAGCCTCCTGGAGACTCTGCTGGAGAAAGTCACAGATCTCTTCTGACTCTTTCTGCTGTTCCACTAGTTGGACATTGGGATCTTCTTGCACCTCTGGAGCTCCACTTCCAAGTGAGGATCCCGGTGATGCCAGCAGTGCCTCCTCCAGAAAGGAGAGATCCACACAGCCAGAGACAGGAGTGTCCTGAGAACTAGCATCATCTGCTAACAGAGACGCAGGGCTCTGCAGAACGGTCACAACAATCATGTTAAAGGTTTGTTAAACTGTTAAAAGTATTCAAACACTATTTAAAGCTTAAAACACTATTTTAAAGCTTAAAGTCACAAATCCATTCTATTGAAACTAAAAAAGTGGGGGTCTTGTTTTAGACAGACAGGCATGTTCTGGGAGGTCCCAGCTGAAACAAATCTATATGCCCCCTCTTCCATGGGGAGAGCGGTCTAGACTTACTGGAGTGTCTGTGAAGAGTGACTGCTCTCCAGAGGATGAATTAATGAGTAAGTCTCCACTTGGCAGCTGTTTGAACAGAAGGGAGGAGGGACAGTTAATTGCATGGGATAATTTTATAGAACTTGTATTTGCACACAAAAATGTAAACACAAACACAAGATTTTATTCTGTTTAAAGGTGGGGTATGTATTTTTTCAAAAACACTTTAGAAAACTGAGTCGGGCCGAGTACCAAAACAAACTTGTAGCCAATCAGCAGTAAGGGGTGTGTCTACTCATGATGCGGAGGAGAGAGCGCTCAGTGCACACGACGGACATTAGCCGAGCCGAGCGACGACAGAAAGATATCAAAATAGGGGTGAGACCCTTTTGGGGTAGGGGCGTGTTTGTTTTGGTGATTTGAAATATCAACATTGGCTACCAGAAATCACTTACCCCACCTTTAAGGTTCTTCAAAGTTATCCATGTAAGATCTCTCTATATACGTCCTTAGAAGAGTGCAAAGGTTCCAAAATTAATGTAACTGAAACAAGTTTGGCGAAAGTACTGTAACAGATAGTCACTACTGTTACTAACATTACAGATTAAAGCCACACTGTAATATTATGATCCCTCCATACCTCATTTGTCCCATGAAGAAAATCATTCAGAGCTTGAGGGTCACTGTTTCAAAGTAAAACATTTAAAAGTTAACATATGAGCAAAATATCTTGCAAATCTTCTGTTGTGAATGCTTTAAAATACATATAAACTAAGAAAATTCATTTTACTGGATGTAACAACACTTACCACAAAATATCAAATAAACAAGTACCATCTTCATCCTCCATTTCAACTAAACAAAAAAGAAGTTGGATTGTAATTACAAAATTATGATAAAACTTATAACAAATTAAATTATGCTTTGACAAAATATGCATTCATTATTTGATAATAAATCTAATATGTCAGTATTGTGTTTATATAATGTACTATATAAATGAACTCCAATCCACTTAAAAATGTATACAATATTATGGTGCCGAAACTCTAGTAAATCGCTATTATTACGATGTATTAATGAGATAAAACCACATGGTGCATATGTAATAATCTGGGTTTTGTGAAGTAACCTAACCTTTTATTAGGGTGGCTCCATTTAGAGCAGGGAGAGAGAGTTTCTGTGGACTTCATTGACTGGATTTTAGGGACTGGCAGTGAGGAAACTAGACATTTGGACACGTGTACAAAAAGTTATTAGTCTTTGCAAGTGTATGGATGTTAAAAATGGCTTAACTGAACTGGCAATCATACTTTATAAATGAAATCTTATAATTTCGCTGTTCTGTACATTTTTGGTCAAATAACCTACAAAGTGTAACATCTAAATGACCTGTTCATTTACTGAATATGACTGACTCAGCCTGAATATATTGAGTTACACCAATGCAAATAGTTTTTAAAGGATTAGAGTCAGATTTGAGTCCTTCCTGCAATGTGGTAACATTCAAGACAATAATAATATGACATTTCAACTACAAATTCAATTACAAATTAAGTAGTCTGGTTGAAAAGACTGAATCATATTTATAATGTTGCACACTGCTGTGTCACAACCCTAAAACAAGTACCAACCATATATGAACCGGCATGGGTGCTATAGATTTGACTAGGTTCACTTTTCTGAAACATTTTAAAGACAATAATTCAGTGTTAGTCGGTGTCAGACTGTCAACTTGAAATGCCACATATCACTGTTAATTTGCAGATAAATAAATAAATAATCAGTCAATTTGCATTAATATCTAAAAGAAATTGTGATTTAGTGATTGGGCTTTGTGGAAGAATTAACTTTAGGAATGACCAAATTACATATTTATACTGTTTACAGTGCAACAGTTTCTTTATAGTCAGTACTATAATACATTTTATACAGGCTCCAATAATATAATTGCATATATATATATATATATATATATATACAGTGGGTACGGAAAGTATTCAGACCCCCTTAAATTTTTCACTCTTTGTTATATTGCAGCTGAATACTTTCCGTACCCACTGTATATATATTACACACATACATGCATGCATACATGCATTATGTAATATCAGTTACCAGAATATTTACACCTAGCATGGATTGTGGTCAAATGCACATCATGAACCGCGTGCCATCGCATGTTCAGTATCAGTTGATTGCGCAGAGTACAAATCGACACCATTGCATTGGTCGAAAATCATCTTCAGTTAGAAATGTTCCCTTATTTTGTCTCTGGCTTTGACTTAAATCGGAGGTCCAGACACCTAGATCTCCTCCCAATGACTTCTGTCTTATTTTTCTTTACCTACATCCGCATTTCCACAGCACACATTGTCATTTAAAATCAAAATTACAGACTGGCTGTTTTAGAAATGATTTATGAATAAATCCTTATACCCAGATCATACCCAGTTCGTACGCAGAAATGGCACGTGCGGTCACGTTTGCGTCTCTGTGTAAGAAGGAAACGCTTGAGGTTTAAAGGATGCTGCTCAGGACGCGGTTCGCAGGAGGTGATGCGCACACAAAAGCTCCTCATGTGAACGCACAGCTGCACATTTATCCCATCATATCTCCTGTGCCGCGCCATAACGCGGATATTCTAATGCGTCATATCGCAGAGAAAAAAGAAGAACTCACCAGCTTCTTTGCGCTTTATTGTCCTTCAGTTGATTGCGCAGAGTACAAATCGACACCATTGCATTGGTCGAAAATCATCTTCAGTTAGAAATGTTCCCTTATTTTGTCTCTCGCTTTGACTTAAATCGGAGGTCCAGACACCTAGATCTCCTCCCAATGACTTCTCTGTCTTATTTTTCTTTACCTACATCCGCATTTCCACAGCACACATTGTCATTTAAAATCAAAATTACAGACTGGCTGTTTTAGAAATGATTTATGAATAAATCCTTATACCCAGATCATACCCAGTTCGTACGCAGAAATGGCACGTGCGGTCACGTTTGCGTCTCTGTGTAAGAAGGAAACGCTTGAGGTTTAAAGGATGCTGCTCAGGACGCGGTTCGCAGGAGGTGATGCGCACACAAAAGCTCCTCATGTGAACGCACAGCTGCACATTTATCCCATCATATCTCCTGTGCCGCGCCATAACGCGGATATTCTAATGCGTCATATCGCAGAGAAAAAAGAAGAACTCACCAGCTTCTTTGCGCTTTATTGTCCTTTCAGACGGGCCTGTGCGCCATCCATCCGTACCCACATGCTCAGGGAGGAGGGGGAGACGGGCTCGCGAGGGTGGGTGACACACACGGAGGTAGAAGAGACGGAAAGCGCGTGTGCATGTGCTGCTCTTCAGACTCCGCGACACTGGAACCCAGAAGCGCGCTGCTTTTCACAGGCATTTGGAAACACTTTACATGACGGTAAAATTGACCTTGACCGATCTTATTCTTAGATCAGCGGACAGAAAAGGTAAATGCAATATCATACTCTCTTTTTAACAATAGGCTTATTCTGCTTCAGAGACTAATTGATCATGTTAAGTGACAGCAGTGTCCAAGCGCTCATTGTCCAAAAAAAAAAAAACGTTAAACAAGTTCTGTGGCAGACCTTCAAAACTTCGTCTTTAAATGGAAAATTTTTCTGAGAAAAAAAAAACTAAAATCATATTTTCAGAAGGATTATTTATTTATTTATTTATTTGGATAAATGAAAAAATAAATACACAGATAGTTAAAAAGAAAGGTTAAATTTAAGCTAATATTAAATATTTTTGGTGTTTTGGTGGAGCATTTTTTATTTTTTTATTTTTTTATTTTTTTGTAGAGCTGATTGGTGGTTGGGTTTGTGGGTGGTTTGAGGGGGGTTATGTAATATGCAAACTCAAAATATGTCATTTCCATACCTAAAATACATATGTTACAGTCACTGTTATGCAGATTGATCATAAACAAAGCTAAAAGGCTTCTTACCAGTGGCAATCCTTCACAAAACTTAACATCTACCTCATGGGTAGAATGCAAAATGTTTCAAAGTTACAAGCATTTCCGTCAAATCTGATTTATGCAATATTTCAATCCTTTAGCCCAAGGGGGGAAATCAACCCATGGCAACAGTAGTCCAATTCAATGGGGAAAAAAATGCATCCAACACACGAGCTGCAGGTGTCATGGGTCGAGAGTAAGGAGAGATGACTGACAGACCATGCTGAAGGATTTGCTGCTCAGCACAGTTTGACAGATATCTGATCGTATAAAATATGCTCCCTTTACACAGAGTGCGCGTGATCGCCAAATCGAAAGTGAAAGTGAACAGCGAGCGCTCATTCAAAAGAGATACTCAGCATATTTGATAGCGGCCGCCGGCCCGTTGGGTGGTGGGGCCCAGGGCAAGATAATGAAAATGGGCCCCACTAGTGTAAAAATTGTCATAGCAATTTGAAGAGTGAAGAGAAAGCACATAAAATGCCAATTTCAGTAATTAAGCATACATGTGCATTAAGTGTAACACATCCAACATATGTAAAAAAAAATATTTAAACAGATTAAAAAAATTAATGTGCAAGTGAGCTTGAAAAATGAAAGTAAAAAGATATGCATGAAACGCAAATAAATAAGATAAAATCTAAATCAATTATACACAAAAACTAAATAAAATAAATAGAGAATTTAAAGTAAACATCAGTGTTGAGTTCTGCACTCATTGATTATAACGTAACTTTGTGAGATCATGATGAACTAAAATGAGTGACTTTTTAGTGATTATAAAGAAATGCTCTTTGCCCCATAGCAATGAACGGCACAAAAATATTACGGTTAGGTCTTATATATATAATATTAAGGTTAGATCACCCTCACTAATTTCAGAAGCAACCTCAGTGATTTGATTCTGGACCCAGGTCTGTAATTATTTAACGTAACAAGCTTAAATGGCTCAATTTTCCCTCATATGACAAGTCTGTCTGTTTGTAGATCTGCACAATTTGGCCAAAAAAAATGTGTTGCTTTTATGTATCAATATGACTACTAATAATTCTGATTGTAGTTATTACTAAATAAAAAACATTAAACAAAGTAATAATTATTGACAATGATTATTATTAATATATTTACAGAAAACTGCAGCATGACCTGTTAACAATCAGGAGGCCTATAACTATAATAGTTTAGAAAGGATTTATTATAAATTATTATAATTAAAAAATTAACATTAACAGTTATTTCTTAATTTTTGTCAGGAAATTTCATGCATCCACACACACACACAGAGAGAGAGAGAGAGAGAGACTGACTCCTCTACACAGGGAAAATAATACTTCTCTCTAAGTTTTTCTCCAATTTTACCCAAAATAAGGTGTCCTGAATAGATGTAGCGGTTTCATTCATACTGTTAGCCGGAGGGCGCCCTCGTGCCATAAAATCATAAGCGAAAAAAAAAACATAGAATGAAATACTCACAAAAATCACGTTTCAGGAATTCTCTAATATGGACAAAGGCATATGCTATTGCTACAGTAGCTGAATTAAACGCAGGTAGGACGTTTTAATTGATGAAGCATGAAGACAATAAACATACAATTGTGACTAAATGGTGTATCTCTGTTCTTCAAGCAATCTCAGGTATTTATTTATAGGAATAATGTATATATATAATGCAATGCTAATCGACATAGCCTTTATCACTGTATAGAATATTATAAAATGATTTTGCCTCATTCTGTGATATGAAACCACATCAGATCACAAAAGAAAGATATTTCAAACACTCGACAGATGTTATGAAATTAATTTGGAGCAAAAACATCATTAAATGTTTTTAAACGCACTGTACAGCCCTGGTGCGTCATCTGTATGCGTGTTGACTTAAAGGGCCTGCGCAGATCAATCGGTGTTTGACATCAAAGTACTGCGATAGCGATAGGAAAGCATGCAGAGCTGTCCATTAGTAATCATAGCTCTCGCGGTACTTTGATGTCGTACACCTGTTTGCACAGTGCAGCTTCAAGTCGAACACACCTAGAAATTTAATTGACAACCTCGCGGCCGCGGGGCCCGAGCGCCTGTACCGCCTGTTGGACGGGTCAGCACTGAAAAAAAAGTCCGGGGTAAAGAGGACGTATGGTCACCCTATCTAATTCCATAGAGGAACTGTGGCAACTTCTCCAAGAAAACTTTTTTTATTGTTACTTTAGTGTCTGGACAATATTGTATAATATATATATTTTTAATATTTTATCAATATTTTATTTTCATTCATTGTGCAAACCAGTGGTAAACCAATAACTGGTGAGCAATGTTTTGTGTTCACAGTGTTCAATATGCATTATGTAAAAACATAAGCACATAAGATTTAAAGTGCCCCTATTATGCCTTTTCGAATAATACCTTTCATGCAGTGTGTCATGTAGCTGTATGTGAACATAAACTATCTGCAAAGTTGTGAAGCCGACAGTGCATGATAAATAAAGTTATTGTCTATCAAAAAAAAAGAGTCGGCTCGCAATCGCCTTAACGAGTCGTCAGGAATTCGAATCTTATTCTGTTACGGATCTATGTCACGAAGTAACACATTTGCATAATGTCTGCCCACATTCTACGTCGCCAACTTGCCCGCCCACACAGTAAAATTTCCATGTGGTTAACATCATGTCGAGAAGACGCTGTATCCTACGATGTGAGTAAATTTTTTTTT